ACAGAAGGAGGGATGACCATAGACAGTGAGAATATAGAAAACCCATACAATTCACAAAGGTGGAATTTCCAAAATTCACAAGAGAAGACACTATCGGCTGGCTCCTAAAGTGTGAGTAATATTTCGAGCTTGATGAAATGCTAAAAGAGTCCAACATTAAGATTGCAAGTATGCATTTTGACCTAAGAGCCTTCCAATGGCATCAAGCTTATGAGAAGTCATAGGGAGGAGTTTAGCCAACCTGGGAGGAATATACTGAAGAAATCAAAGATCGCTTTAGACTTGTTCATAAGACCCCAATGAGCAACTTAGTTTGCCTAAAGCACCATAGAGCTCTGGCTGACTACAACGACAAGTTTGATATGCTCTCGTGGAAACTCTGATTGACTAAAGAACACTTAGTCGATATATAGTTATTAGGTTTATGAGACGATTATAAAGGCCAAGTTTATCTTTTTAAGCCACATATGCTAAGAAAGGCTTGAAAACTTGCCAGAATGCAAGAGATAATATTTCATAGACAAATTGAAAAGAAAACCCAAAATAAAGGAGGAGGAGACGTGGCACCTACAGCATCAGCCACACAAACCTCACACCAAAACACATGATTTTCTTACAAAAACGCACTAATAGGCACTGAGGCCCATGCCAAAGGAAAGTCAACATCTTTACCTCAAAAAAAATATTCTTTTTAATCAAAAATTAAATAGTAATCCTTTAAAAAAAATTTCTACAGAGGACGAGGTTGAACACAAAAGAAAAAATTTATGCTTCTATTATCACAAAAAATTCTCCCAAGATCCTAAATGTCCACAAAGACAGAAATTACAACTACATTTTATTGAAGTTCCAAATGTTCAGGAAGAAGCTAACCAGATTAAGGAAGACAGTGAAGCTAAAGGGGAAGACGCTAAACCCTTTATCTCCCTGCACACTATGGATAGAGTTGATGGTGCTTCTTCAATGAGACTTACAAGATACTATGGCAAGAGACAACTCTATATTTTGATTGATAAGGGGAGCACACATGATTTTTTGGATTATAATGTGGCCAAAAAGCTCGGATTGTAGCTTGATGGGATAAATGAATCTTAGGTAGAAGTGGCTAAAGGAAGAAAGCTTAAAGTGCATGGCATTTGGGAAGGATTCAAATGGAGAATGCAAGGCTTAGAATTTTCTTTTGATTTTAAAATTCTTGAATTGCATACTTATGATTTAGTACTTAGGCTTAAATAGCTTAAAAGTATTAAAAATGCTTTCTAGGATTATGAATCACTAATCATGTTCTTTTGGCTTGAAGGAAAAATGTACAAACTTCAAGCTAATCCTCCTAATACCCTACGAGTGGTATATCCAAAGGGGCTAGAAATTAAGGATTTTCATACTGATCAAGTATTTTTGCTACAATTAATAACTAAGGGACAAGAAAAGAAGGAAAGTTTCTCTATACAGAGCTGCCCAGAAATTCCAAAAGCATTTTCTTCTACTTTACAAGGATTTTCTAATCTTTTCCAAGCACCCAAAGGGCTACCACCTTTCCATAATGATCATTCTATTATCCTTTAAGAGGGTACTAATCCTATAAATTTAAAGCCTTACAATTATCCCTCAGCTTAAAAAGATGTTAGTGGGGGAATTACTATAAGGGGGAATAATACAAGAAAGTTCAAGTCCATTTTCTGCTCCTATAGTTTTAGTTAAAAAGAAGGATGGTACTTAGAGGATGTATATAGATTATAAGAAGTTAAAAAAAATAGCTAAGAATCAATATCCCATTCCTTTGGTAAAAGACCTTTTTAGTGAGTTAAGTACTGCAAAATAGTTTACAAAATTAGATCTAAGGGCTTGTTATCACCAAATCAAGATGGTGCCTCCAGATGTTATAAAAATTCCTTTTAAAACACATAATAGGCACTATGAGTGGCTGGTTATGCATTTGACCTAACTAATACCTCAGTAACATTTTAAGGGGCCATGAATAGCATATTTTGCCCTTATTTGAGAAGATTTGTGCTAGTTTTTTTTTTGATGATGTATTGATTTACAATGCTAATTTAGATGATCATGTACAACACCTTATGGAAGTTTTTTCCATTTTAAGGAAGCATTAGTACAATGTTAAGAAGAGCAAGTGCTCCTTTGTAGCAACTGAAGTGGAATATTTAGGTCATATAATTAGTAATATGACAATTAAAACAAATCCAAAGAAAATTCAAGTGGTTGTTGAATAGCCTAAACCTAAGACTATGAAGCAACTTAGGGTATTCTTAGGGATGGAAAGGTACTATAGAAGGTTTATCAAAGGTTATGGAGCTTTAGCAAAGCCACTAACTTGTCTTCTTAAGAAAGATGGGTTCAAATGGTTAGATTTTGCTTCTGAGTCATTTAACAACCTTAAAAGGTATAAACATTAGCACCTGTCCTTACTCTTCCTGATTTTACTAAAGAATTTATTATGGAGACAGATGTATGTGGTTTTGGTATGCGGGTTGTTTTAATGCAGCAAGGTCAACCAATTACATTCATTAGCAAAGGGTTACCTGAATGGCATCAGAAACTTTTTGTATATGAAAAAGAGTTTACGGCTATTGTACTAGATATACTTCATTGGCATCAATATCTTGAAAGGAAGTGATTTATAATCAAGTTTGACCAATAAAGTTTGAAATACTTGCTCGTACAGAAGTTGAAGACTTCATTCAAATGTTTTTTTTTTTTTTGCAAAATTAACTGGGTTTGATTATGAGATGCTATCTAAGAAAGGGAATGATGATTCAGTAGCTAATTCTCTTTCTAGAATACCCAAAAGACAACTGATGCAAATGGTTTTAGACACCTTTCTCCTGAATTACTAAACAAGATCAAGGGAAGTTTGAGTAGTGATGCTGTGGCTACCAAAATTCATAAAAAAAAATAAGAAAATAATGGTGTCTGGGGGCATTTTTCTTGGGATGGAGATTTGTTGAGGAGGAAGGGCAAGTTGGTGATAGGAAATGATCTTATTTTGAGATAGCAAATTTTAGAATGGCTACATTCTAGGCCTCAAGGAGGGCATTCTAGGATTTAAACCACTTACCACAGGATCAAAGCATTATTTCGCTGGAAAAAGAGATCAATAATTAATAGATCTTATTAAACAATATGATACTTTGTGCTATAAGTATGAGGCTATTGCTCCTCATGGATTATTGCAACCTCTTCCTATTCCAAGTCAAGTATAGGAAAGTATTACTATGAATTTTATTGAGGAACTTCTTAAATCTCATGGTAAGGATATAATTTGGATATTAACTGATAGAATGAGTAAGTATGCTCACTTTATACACCTTACTCATCCTTATTCTTCTTCTTCTTTAGCATAGCTTTTTATAGATTTTGTTTATAAACTTCATGGTGCTCTCATTGAAATTATAAGTGATCGTGACTCGATTTTTGTGAGTTGTTTTTGGAAGGAATTCTTGCAGCTTTAGGAATCAAACAACACCTTTCTACATCTTATCACCCTCAAATGAATGGGCAATTAAAAGTTTTAAACAAATGTTTGGAGACCTATTTAAAGTGCATGTATTGGGAGTAACTAAAGGATTGGAACAAGTGATTGTCACAAGCTAAATGGTGGTACAACACCACATTTCATACAGCTACTAAAGCAATATCACATGAACTTTTGTATGGTGAAAAAGCCCCTATTCACTGTCCTTATGTGCCTCATAGTTCTATTTTAGATGTTTTAGATAGGTTTTTTCAGTTAGAGAAGCTCTGATGGCTATTTTAAAGTATCATCTCCATTAAGCAGCTAACACAATGAAGCACAAAACTAATTCACAAAGGACAAATTACGAGTTTGCTATTGGTTAATGGGTTTTTCTCAAGTTACAGCCTTATAAACAAATCTCTGCAACTACTAGAAGCACTCAAAAATTGGCTCCTAAATATTTTGGCCCCTAGAAGGTTCTTGAATGAATTGGTGTTATGGCTTACAAGTTGGAACTACCACCTGAATCTAGAATACATCCAACATTCCATATGTCTATACTTAGGCTATGTCCTAATCTTAAGGTGAAACAGAGGCATCCACCCCTTGATTGACTTGAAGTTCCACCAGCTTTAGAGCTCGAACGTGTTCTACAAAAGAGAGTTGGTAGAAAAAGGGGAAGGATCATTACAGAAATTTTGATTAAGTAGAAGTAGTTGTCGGATAAATAAGTATCTTGAATGGTTTTACACCAATTTTAGTAGAAATTTCCTCAATTTATCATTAAAAATCCTTTAGGGCAGTGATCTTTTCAAGGGAGGTATTGTCGTAGTTTTATAATTATGAAATATTAATTAAATTGTATATGTGTGATTTAAATAATAGTTAGTTAGGATATATAGTCATTAGGAGATAGATGAGTATTGAAGCCTATAAATACTAGGTCATCTGACTTGTAAATTATCTCTTGAATCAATAAACATACTATTCAAGTTTCTCAGTTTCTCTGATTTCCCTCTCTTCCATGTTCTTCTCTCTTTCCTTTTCTCTTTTCTGGTGTTCTCTATCTCTCTTCCCTTCTACCTACCATCTTATCCTATTCTATCTCTGTTACTATTACAAACTTGCAACAGATAAGCAAGTCAATTGGCACAACAATTAAGCTCTCTAAAAACATGATCTAAAAAGACAATCCTATTATACATAATAAATTCCTTGATTTTTTTTTTTTTTTTGACAATGTAAAAGGAAATGGCTTTGGAAGTGCTCGTTGTGAACTAGGTTAAATTGCATAAAACATCAACTTGCAAATCATTTTCATACCAAGAGAGTTTTTTTTTTTTTTTTTACCAACATACCAAGAGAGATTCTGTCAAAAATTACAGTGTGCTTTTTATCCCTTCCAATCGACAGGGAAAACAAAGATTAGTCATTATTGACGTGTTGGAAAATTTTTTTCAGCGAAATAACATGATTGCACGTTGTCCAATGTTTACTTTGTTTACAGAAAGCATTACAAGAATCAAGCCAAAAAGAGAGTATATACAAGAATTTCTCGATTGTATAGATCCCCACCGCCATTGCAGGGTTACAATTCAAATCTTACAATTGGAATCAAGCCAAAAAAAGTACATGCAAGAATTGCTCGATTATATAGATCCCCACCGCCGTTGCAAAGTTAGAATTCTAATCTCACAATTGGACCATGCATCGATCAGCCACTTTGAGAATATGGCTGCAATTAAATGGGACCAAGTACTACTGAGGGGAAAAAAATAAAAGTAAATCTTTCTGCAATATGTAAACAATTACTAATCATCATCACTGTCATAGTTTTGACACAAGGATTTAAGTCCACTGGTTGTGTCAATTTTACTGTCTTCCTCCTCTATTTCCTTCTGCTTGGATTCAACTGGTTTCTTGACAACGTTGATCTTCACCAAGGGATGAAAAGGCTTGGGACCATTAGAAGTCTCTGAGACTCGTGAAGTTTCTGCAAAATATCATGAGTTAAATAATAATATATCAGTTAAAAAAGTGAAGCATGATGCATTAACTGTAAAGTCACAGAAAGACATATTTCTTAATTGTTGATAGCAGAAATTAGAAACCTTTTGTTTCGGGACTATGATGGCTGAAACTTCTTTTCAATTCAGTGAAATATACAAAGTTGGGATAGTCAGTCGCTTTGCTCAATATATTTGATAAAACTATTGGTCATTTGCGCTCCTCTTATCCCACTTTCCATATGTTGCTTGTACCTTCTCCCACTACATATTGATATTGCACAGAGAATTGAACCTAATATTAATTGGTACCCTTTTTTCTTCAAATCTCAACTAATTTTTTTGTCCTAAACATGAAGCTTAGTGGATTAAACTTCTCTCCAGTTTCACAACAGCAGCAACTGGAGAGAGACATCAAATGTATCTTCCCCCCTAATCCAGCTACCTCTAATGCAGCAAAGAGGATCTTATCTCCGTTTAATCACACATTTCAATCAAGATGAATCCACCCAGTTTGGACAACAATGCTAAAAATGCCACATATATAATGCATTGACTAGATTTGTTGTATTAGTTGCTCTGCCTGATCTCCCAAAGGGCACATACCTGGGTTGCCAGAATTATCCAAGCTAGCTTTTGTCAGAGCATCAGTTGCTTTGCTTGGAAACTCTTCAGACATTCTTCTTCTCTGCACGCAACCACAGTGAAACATAAGCCAACACAGTTATTACATAATGTCAACATCTTAATCTGCTGGGAAATTATTGATAACTAAGAATACCCACTTAGCAGGATCTCCAGATGTGAAATTAATATATAGTATTCTTGGCTTAAGTAATTATAATAACAAAATGTTGCCACATTCAAGGTAAATATCAATCAATTTAGAAATAGAAAATAGAAGGAATATTAATACATGTATGTATGAAGCATTCATACCTTCATATTATCGTCAGATGTTTCGCCATTTCCATTTGAAGGCTTAATAATAAAATCATCAGTTTCTAAATCTTCATCACGAATTCTTTTGACGAGTTCTTTTGATTTCTGTTTATAGTCATAGAATGAAAGCCAGTGTTAATTCCGAACAAGTAATGCACATTGAAAGATTAACTAAAAGTAATTGCCAGAATGGTAATGCTTACGCTGGAGAAAACAGATTTTATCAGTGCTTCATCTTCTTCTTCCAACTGTTTCTCCTGACAAAATAAAATGTACAATTCAATAAAATTGTCAAGATAGAAGCATGAAAAATTAAAGAAAGCTCAAAAGTTATACGCTTGATATGCCCATATTTTGTGTTTAGGACATAAAATTGTTTACGTCAGTGGTCTCCCAAGTTTTTCAGGTTAGCAGTTAAAAAAGGTTTGTGTTCAAGTTTGCAACCCAAGCTGAGCGCCCACCTAGATAACCCAAAGACATGGACATAACGTTGCAAAAACAGAATAAAACCTAAACAGGAAAATTGTATTGTTATCTTCACATATTACTGGAAATATTTGGCAAAGAAAATTGAGTGAGTGAAAAATTTTAATTAATCATAAAATAGAAATAACAGAAAAGAAAATCACTCCTGTTGAATGAGAAGTTTTAGAGGATGTGAAACTTTTAACTTCACCTACGAAAAGGTGTAGTTGATTGGGATTTTCCCTCTAGTAGATATCTCAATACAGCAGAACTAATAAAGCATGTAAAATATGTATTAAGCAAATTAGATAATAGTGATTAAATCAGTCATACCGTGCATGGTAAGATAATATATGAACACTGCATCTGATTTAATTCAATTTCATCCAAGAGTTATACAATCATCTGCTTGTGTCAAATTAACGATCCAATCAACTACCAAATTGACCGTTCATAGGGAACATGAAATATCAACTCAACTGATTAAATGATTTAACTAATACAAGTAAACAAACTTATAGTTAAAGCTACATGCCAAATGCATGCCAAGAATATCCTTGTTTTATATCACGTTTTACTTGTAAAATCAATTATAATCACTTGCTTGAGAGAGTAATCATTAAAAGCAAATAAAATATAAATTGAAAATCTTACCTGGTCAGCTGCTGTGCGTTGCAAGGCCTCCAGCATTGCATCAACAGAGACAGTCGCATGCCTCGACTAGAAAATACATGAGGCATGAGTTAGTAATCACTATAGATTGACTTCGAATTCATAAACAAGTGACATTGATTGGGTTAAAAAGAAAAAAAAAAGCCAAGCCCACATGACACCATGCAACATATGCTAACCTAAAATATAATCATGTAGAAGGGTCAAATTTGAAATGTTCAATAGAAAACAATCAAAGCAACAAGTACCTTCATAGACTTCATCTCATCAAGTGCTGCAAGGATGTCCATCTCCCTTTTAGAGTCCAAAGTTCTATTTTCCAGGGATTTCATAGCATCTCCCAATTCTTCAGCCTCCCTCTTCTGTTTCATTTTTTCATCTTCCTCATCCTCTGCCCGCCATGGTTCAAAATTCCTTGTCGCCCCAGATTCTACAACATAATCTGAATTCTGTGGATCTGTCTTAATAGTAAGCTCAGCTGAGCATTTAGTGCATTTGAAGTAAAACCTGAATAACTGAATGCCCAGATACGTCTGCCAAAAGATTAAAAAATAAAATAAATCCACAAAGCATTTGTCATTAAAAGCTCAAAATATAAATCAAAAGGCAAAGTCAATGCCAATCAAATAGTGAATTTTAGGTTACTCAAAATGAAAATCCAAAATAACAGGGGGGAGGAACAGATAATTTACCATGCCCATTGAGAGAAAAGACTCATACCAAATTACACAGAAGAAAAAGACAATCATAAAAAAAAAAATCACAAAAATGAAAAGGAAAACAAAGAAACTGAAAAGTGATGTAGAAGATGTAACCTCGCCAATAACATCTTCCTTTCGGGAGTTGAACTTAGTGCCTTTATAGATATAATTCCCACAAGTATTGCATCTGATACTCATGGGAAGCATCATGCGAACCTTGATCTGCTGATTTTTGGGTCTTCGAACCCTAGGCAACTTTGAGGGGTCAAAATCTGGTGGGTAATACTTATTCAACACTTTTCTTTCTCCCATCTTCTTCTACTACGTCAAATTTCTTGCCTCAACTGCTACGGTTGCAAGTGTTAACAATGGCTCGTAAGCTCAAGGAAAAGGCAGATAGCACTTCAATAATATGATGTCATTTCTACAAAACAAATGAAGGTTAAACAGTTAAGTAAACAGGACAATTATTTTTATATCATACATATATATAACATAAAAACTCTAATAAGCCACCTTATTCATGAGTAATAAATAGCACAACTCATTTTTCAGATTTTATGCAATGGACAAGACTCACACTAGTAATACATTAATACAATAATACAAATAACTGCATAACAGTCACAATTAAGTGCATGTTCGGAAATCCATTAGTCTTGGTCAAGACATGGTTTTATGTGAGTAGTTTTGTCTTGAAAGTTGTTAAAAAAAAAAAAAAAAAAAGCTATTTCCAATCGGTTTCCAAACATAGGCTAAACTGTTCCAAGAATTCATAAAGAGCAACGACAGCTAGAAGTGTCATTAATTTCAGTACCAGTAACTCTTATGAAGAGTGTAATCAAGGCCAACACATCTCAGAAGAGAGGTATACACAGCCCGAGCATTACCCAATCAAAAGAAGGGGGAAAAAATGAAAGAAGCGATTTGAAATATAATTAAATTCACAAGTCCTTGTATGAAATAAGATAAGCCTACTGACGTAAAGATATTGAAAGATCGTACTTGAAAGAGTGAATATTGCAACTTCAAAAGATTATGCATGTTTTTAAAAGAACTTTCTATTTCTACCACAGAAGAATATTTTCTTTCTGCATAGGATATGGCATATAATGAATCATGCAGACATAGAGTCAACATATCAGAACTAGGTCTTCCAATTCGAACTAGGCATCAATTTATTGTTTCTCCATCCATATATGATACGATGCGCATGTAAGTCTTTAGTTTTGGAGACTAAAGTGAAACTTTGAAAAGGCATATACTTCTGAACTATATGCTCCCAACCACAAAACAAATAATTCTGCCAAATTTGCTCTCCTATTCTCAAATTAATCATCAACCATGCCAATTTGGAATTATAAGCAAAGAGGTATCATTCGTATTTTCTTGTTATCATGGTCCACAGAGGTCATACAATCTCAGCCTCAAGCTATCATTCATAAATAGTCCTAGGATTCAACGCCGCCAATATTTCGTCCTTCCCGAACACTCAAGTGAACACACTCATTCGTCATGGTTCATCAAATCTTTCACTCTCAAGATTTGCTCTTGTCACAAGAGGACTTGCCGTTACCTCTTGAAGCGAAATTAGGCAGAATGAATTCGACAAGAAGCAAATACAAACTACTAGCCAACAAGGAAAGAATCGGATTCAAAAAGCAAACATAATATGATTCAAAAGCAATTCATATATTAAAGGATATCTTGTAAAACTATGAAGAAATCACAAGAAACACTTATTAAATGATCAGAAAGGCAGAAACCCTCGCCGAGGCTGTAGAAAAGAAGGGGAACGACGGAATCGCCGCTCGCTCCGCTGTAGTAGACGTCGCTGGTGGCTGCAGATGGAGGTGCTCGTCGCAACGCTCGCGCGGAAAAGGGATGGATGGTCGTGGGGAATGACAGTGAAGAGAACTACGGATTGGGGAATTGAAATTGGAATTCTAGGGCTGGTTTATTCATATTATTTTAACTTCTACTAATAAGTTTGCTGGTTTTTGGCAGTTCAAATCCCTGGCGTGCTATCTTCCAACAACAGGGATGCTTGTTCAGATGCATTTTAACAATTCATCTCCTATGGACAAACACTATGAAAACGTGTGAATTTTCATAGTACGTTAACCTCTTCGGCTTTTCATCTGCATATTACCAAGTCTCATCAGAATTTTGGAACGACGAGAGTTTCCGATCCCACAAGCTCCAATGCTCATCAATCACCCTCACGAAATCTGGACCGTCCACATAATTTAATGGTGATCTAGACTTAAGATTTTAATTTATATTTCTTAAAATAAAAAATTGTAATAAATCACCAGAAAATGAGCACCAGGAAATGCGTTTTCAGCCCTTTTTTTTAAGAAAAAAAAAATTGTGCGAGAAAGTCCTTACAAGTAACATCACTTCAAATCCCATAGGTTTGAAATTATTAAAGTAACTTTTGGATTTATACTTTTTTTTTAATACAAGGTTAGGATAAAACCATGCAAAAAGACTAAGGTCTAATCATATCAAAAGCTATAAGACTTATACAATCGAGAGGCAAGTTGATAAAGATAAAAGTATCAAAATCTTTATAAGAAGTCTTGTAAGATAGAAAGTCAGTACAGTTGTTTGTCCTGTAAACGTGATCAAAAGTAATAATTTAATTTCTCATAAAAAAATCTCTGATATTTTTGACAATTCCAGAGAGGGGATAGAAGTCACAATATCCATTATCAAAGAGTGATAATGTTATAGTTTTGTAATATTAGTTAGTTTAAATTTAAATAACAGTTATTAGGAAATAGCCGTTAATGATAATTATGAAATAGTCGTTAGGGAGTATGAGTGTGAAATCTATAAATAATGAGACATTTGATTTGTAAAGCATTTTGAATAATCACACAAGTATTATGTAAGTTCCTATTATTCCTTAATTCTCTCAATCTCTCCTTCTCTTCTACATCTCTAATTCTTCTCTACCCCATCTCTCCCTTCTCTGACCCTTCTCCAACCCTTCTGTTCTTCTCTCCTTGCCCTCTTATCTCTCTTGTTAATATTCATAGCCCAGAATTATTCTTACAGAATAGTGGTATTAGAGCAAATGCTCTTTGGCCACTTCTTGTCACAGATTCATCATCGACAGTATATGATTTAAACCCGAAACCAGATCAAGAAAGAAATGGAAGGACGTGTGGGTCGACTGGAAGAAAATTTTAATAAAGTAGACACCTTGACCAAATTAGTTGAAGGCATTTTGAACCAATTACAGATGCTTATGTGTGATCGTAAGCATGACATGGGCAATGACGAAGAAAGACACCATGGCCATTGTCGAAATCGCAACCAAGAATTAAAGGAATTGCATCATTGTGAAGGTTATGAATGCTATAGGTACCACGGCCGACGCAATTCACCAAAATGGACTTCCCAAAATTCACTCAAGAGGACGTTAAGGGCTGGATATTGAAGTGCGAGCATTACTTTAAGCTCGATGAGACCCCTGAAGAATTGAAAGTCAAGATTGCAAGCATGTATCTTGACCCAAAAGCGTTCCAGTGGCACGTCGCGTACAAGAAAGCGTGGGCAGGCATGCAACCCACTTGGGATGAATATATCAAAGAATTAAAGGATTGGTTTGGGCCTATTCATGAGACCCCCATGAGCGACTTGGTGCGTTTGAAGCATCAAGGGACTTTGGCTAAATATAATGATGAATTTGACACCATCTCGTGCAAACTAAGCTTATCAAAAGAATATTTGGTAGATGTTTATCTTAATGGATTGTTGGAAGAGATTGCGAGACCTATCAAGTTATTTAAACTAAGAACTATGAGAGAAGCACAAAGCTTGGCAAGAATGCAAGAGATCATGTTAAAAAGGCAAGCTGAGAAGAAAAGTCAACAAAAGAATAGTGGACAGGTGGCAGCGATAGCTTCTTCCATACAGCCCCCTCACCAGAACACTTGGGCATCATACAAAAATACTTTGATCGGTGGTGAGACCCAAGGGAAAGGGAAGTCAACATCTTTATCTTCAAAAACCTCTTCTTTTAACCAAAAAATTGTTAATAAACTACTCAAAATTCTTTCTACAGAGGACGAAGCAGAGCATAAGAGTAAAAACTCATGTTTTACTGTCATGAAAAATTCTCAAGAGATTATAAATGTCCTCAACGTTAGAAGCTACAACTCCACTTCTTGAAAATTCAAGACAAGGTGACAAACTTAATATTTCTATTCATGCGATAGACGGAGTTGATGGGAATTCTTCCATGCAAGTCACAGGATACTGTGGCAGGAGGCAGCTTCAGATCTTAATTGACAGTGGAAACACTCATGATTTTTTGGACCTTAATGTGGCAAAAAAAAACTTGGGTGGCAACCTGATGGAACCAATGAAGCTTGGGTAGAAGCAGCAAGAGGAAGAAAGCTTAAGGTGCATGGTATTTAGGAAGGATTCAAGTGGAGAATGCAAGGCTTAGAATTTTCTTTTAATTTTAAAATTCTTGAAATGCATACGTATGACTTAGTCTTGGGGCTTAAATGGCTCAAAAGCATTAAAAATGCATTATGGGATTATGAGTCATTAACCATGTTTTTTTTGGCTTGATGGGAAGTTATGTAAGCTTCAGGCTACTCATCCAAATTCTCTACACCTGATTCAACCTAAGAAGCTAGAATTCAAGGACCTGAATGAGGGTTAAGTTTTTTTACTCCAACTAGTGGCCATGGGACATGAAAAGATGGAATGCCTTTTTATCCAAGTCGGTTTAGATGTTCCAGAGGAAATTCTTAAGGTTCTACAAGAATTTCCTGACTTTTTTGAAGCACTAAGAGGGCTGCCATCATCAAGGAAAGGCCATGATCATTCAATAGTTCTTAAAGAAGGGACCAATCCTATTAATCTCAAGCCACACAAATACCCATCAGCTTTAAAGGATATTTTTGAGGGATTAGAAGGGGAATTATTGCTTAATAGGGTGATTCAAGAAAGTTCAAGCCCGTTTTCAGCCCCTATTATATTGGTCAAAAAGAAGGATGGCACTTGGAGGATGTGCATAGATTATAGGGAATTAAACAAGAAAACTGTGAAAAATTAATACCCAATTCCCTTGGTAGAAGACCTCTTTGATGAATTAAGTGCTGCAAGATGATTTACAAAGTTGGATTTGAGGGCTAGTTACCATCATATTAGAATGGTACCTTCAAGATGTATCAAAAACAGACTTTAAAACTCATAGTAGTCACTATGAATAGTTAGTCATGCTATTTGGCTTAACTAATGCCCCAGCCACTTTTTAAGGGGCCATGAATAATATTTTTTAACCTTACTTATGAAGGTTTGTTCAGGTTTTTTTTTGATGATATTTTAGTCTACAGTGCTAATCTTAAAGACCATGTATAGCATCTTAAACAGGTTTTTTCTATCTTATGAGAAAATTATTATTTTATAAAGAAGAGTAAGTGTGCTTTTGCTGCCACAGAGGTAGAATATCTAGGGCATCTAATTAGCAAGGGAACAATTAGAACTAATCCTAGAAAGGTCTAGGTAGTGGCTGAATGGCCTGAACTGAAGAATATCAAGCAATCGAGGGCTTTTTTAGGGTTGGCAAGATATTATAGAAGATTTATTAAGGGGTATGGAGTACTAACCAAGCCACTGACTCTCCTCCTCAAGAAAAATGGGTTTCAGTGACAAAAGTAGCTACAGAAGCCTTTAATCACATTAAAAAAAGTCTTAATTTCCACCCTCATACTTACCCTTCCAGACTTTTCAAAACAATTTGTAATAGAGACTGATACTTGTGGAGTAGGATTGGGGGCTGTTCTAATGTAAGAGGGCCAACCAATTGCTTATTTTAGCAAGGGTTTGGTTGAAAGACATCAAAAGCTATCAGTATATGAAAATGAATTAATGGTTGTAATACTAACTGTACTCTATTGGCATTAATACTTGAAAAGACAGCAATTTATAATTTGTTCAGATCAACAAAGTTTAAAGTATTTGCTTGGTCAAAAGTTGAAGATAACTTTTTAGATGTTTTGGATTGCTAAATTAGCTAGCTTTAATTATGAAATTCAATACAAGAAGGGAAACAAAAATTCTATTGTAGATGCTCTATCTAGAATACCCAAACAGCAGCTAATGCAAATGGTTTTAGATACTTCTTCTCCTAAATTATTGGGAAAAATCAAGGAGAGTTGGGAAAATGATATTGTGGTGATGGAAATTCAGACGAAAACTCAAGGAAATAATGGTATGTAGGGGCATTTTTCTTGGGATAAGGAATTATTAAGAAGGAAAGGAAAGCTAGTGATTGGAAATGATCCTAGTTTGAGACAGCAAATTTTAGAGTGGTTGCATTCTAGTCCTCAAGGAGGGCATTTCTGGAATTCAGGCCACTTACCACAAAATAAAGGCATTATATTGGTAGAAAAACTAATCAATGATGTGACAAATTTCATTAAACAATGTGATACATGTGCTCATTATAAGTATGAAGCTGTTGCCCCTTCCGAGCTGTTGCAACCTCTTCCAATTTCTAGTCAAGTTTGGGAAAGTATTACTATGGATTTCATTGAAGGACTTCCTAAATCACATGGTAAGGACACAATATGGGTACTAATTGACTGAATGAGCAAGTATGCTCATTTCGTTCCTCTTACTCATCCTTATTCAGCTTCTTCTTTAACACAACTTTTTATGGATAATATGTGTAAACTATATAGTGCTCCTGCTAAAATTATGCTAAAATTATAAGTGATCATGACCTTATATTTGTGAGTGGATTTTGGAAGGCATTTTTGCAGGTTTTGAGAATTAAACAGCAACTTTCCACCTCATATCACCCTCAAATGGATGGGCAATCTGAAGTTCTAAATAGGTTCTTAGAAACCTATCTTAGATGTATGTGTTGGGAACAACCAAAGGATTGGAGCAAGTGGTTATCACAAGCTGAATGGTGGTATAATACTACATTTCATACAACCACTAAAGCGACTCCACATGAACTTTTATATGGTTAGAAAGCTCCTATTCATTGTCCTTATTTGTCTAATGGTTCTATTTTGGATGTCTTAGACAGGACTTTTTTCAGCTAGGGAAGCTGTGTTCGCTGTTTTAAAGCATCACCTT